CTGGCATGCTTTTCTGGTTAAGTGTCTCGTGCCATTTATTATCACATAGAAAACATATGGTGAGCACCACAAGGCACTTGGTTTAGGTGGTTTGATTGGTTGAAATGTTTATTTGTTTCTTCATTTTTTTATTATTGGGACAGAGGCTTGCTTCAAAGGTCAGGCTGACTTGAATTCAAGATTCCCTCTACTCTGCCTTATGAGTGTGAGTGCTGGGATTATAGTCTTGTCACTAAACTCAAATGCATTGTTTACTTCTTTTGTTGGGTTTTGAGAGGTTTTCTTGTTTGTTTGTTTGTTTGTTTGTTTTTTCTAGAGATTGATCCTAGGGCTTTCCACATCCAATGTAAATGTTCTGTGATTGAGCTCCACCCTTAACACTATTAGAATTCCTTAATTAGAAGATGTAATCACCAAATTTAGTTGACAACAGCAGGCCAAATACAGCTAATTATATGGTTTTATAAAACTGATGAGCAAAGAATATTTTCTTATTATTATATAGTTAATACAGAGGACAAATGTGAAATTTCATTAAGCTGGACGCTTAAGCCATGCAGTTTATTACAGATTTTGCCTCTATTTTAAAATACTATTTTCTAAGTTTGTATTATTATTTATGGGTTTCATATTAAACCCATATGCAGGCTAAAGAGATGGTTCACTAGGTAAATGTGCTGGCTACCAAACATGACCACCTCAGTTTGATCCTCACATGGTTGAAGGAAAGAACCAACCCCCACAACTGTCCTCTGACCTCTCTGAGCATCGTGGCAGCCATGTGCTTGGGCATACATATGTGCATGCACATACTGGCATTAATTAAATTTTAATACAGGTTTTTAAACACCCATATGCCTTAGAAAAAATTGAGAATGCTTTGTTAGTTGAAACCTTTGTTAAGTAAATTTGTGTTAGTTAATATTACATATAAACAACTCTAGAAAGAAAACCACATCTGCTTCATTCAGGCCTATTGTTATTTGCAGGGGTCCCAGAGGCATTAGATATCTTCAGCTCTACTAACACAGCAGCTGGATTTTATATTTAGAACATTTTAAGAAGTTTGCTTTCTATTTATTTATTTATTTATTTATTTTTATTGCTTTCTTTTGGTAAGACATGATTGAGCCTAATCTTAAATTCTTTTTTTTTTTCTTTTTTGAGACAGTCTTTCTATGTAGGCCATGTTGGTCTAGAGCCTGCTGTAGAGCCCACACTAGCTTTGATTCTGCTTTTTCCATAAAGTGCTGAGATTCTAATTTTCTTCCATTTCCAGCCCATAATTCAATTTGAATTTCTCCAATACCATGATGCAGTCAAAGAATACTTACTGAGAATGTAGCATGTGTATGCCCAAATGTCCCACTCACAGATATGTACATAGCCCCTTCTATCAGAAGTTGTTGAATATCCATCATTTTCTGTTCTTGTAAACTGAGGAGTTATTTTATTTTGCTGACAGAGATATCAATATTCATTCATTCTCTCTAAATAAGCTATCTAAACTGTTTATGAGTTAGTTTATTTAAAAAGATGTGTATACACACACACACACACACACACACACACACACACACACCACCTACCTATAGCCTAAATCCTGGAGCCTGTATCATTTTATATGGCTAAATTGACTTAATGAACGAAGGACTTTGCATATGTGGTTAAGCTAAGTATCATGCAGTGAGGAAATGACCTTGGGTTACCTGGATCGGTGTACCTATAGTCAAAATGGTCTTTGTAAGACTAAAAGAGAAGTCAGAGAACAGGACACTCTGATGTTGGAAACAAAAGCTAGAGTGGGGCACTTTGAAGATGGAGAGGAAACCACAAACCAAGGAATATATACGATCACTAGCAGTTAGGGAGGAAGGGAGGGAGGGAGGGAGGGAGGGAGGGAGGGAGGGAGGGAGGAAGGAAGGAAGGAAGGAAGGAAGGAAGGAAGGAAGGAAGGAAGGAAGGAAGGAAAGATTCTTCAGAACTTTGAGAAAGAACAAGCCCTGCCAAAACTTGGATTTGAGCTCAGTAAGATAGATTTCTAATTTCTGACCTCCACAATCTTTGGGGAAGACATGTTGTCATACACTGCAAAGTTTATAGTAATTTGCAATATTTGGCAATAAGAAATGAATGTAGAAATTGTAATTTATTAGCTTACTGTGAAAGGAATATTTCTCTCACAACCTTGAGCAAAAAGAAAACAAAAAAACAAAAAAAACTTACCTCAGTGTGCAAATAATCATCCAGGAAAAGTGAAAACAGTGGGTGTTATTAGCAAGCTATGTCATTAATGAACATATTTATGCCTTTCTACAATTTCAGAATATATTGAGTGTTAAAAGAGTCACAAGCTGCACTTCACCAAGTACTTATCCTTCCTTTGGAGCCATAACTATGACAATATTCCATTCCATTCTGATAATATCTGGCCATTGAATGATATATCACATTTCAATCAATTACATATAGGTGACAGAAAGTTAAAAATGAGTCTGTAGGAACTAATGGGTAATGCAAATGTAGATGCAGAGTTGGCACCAGTCAGAGCCATTTCAGGTGGGTAGGTACTATGCTAAGAACACATCTCAAAGACACTGGTCGAGGAATCTGGACAACTTTGAAGTTGGTGGTGTTAGTGACAGGCTAGGCCAATCAGGCACAATAGGAAGTATGTCATCTGACAATCTCCTATACAGGGGCCATGACAAATACACTGAGTGTCCCAAGACCAAATGCCAAGTTAATGTGCCATGGTGTGGTTGTCCTATGTTCAGATTTGTGGTTGCATCATTCATTGGTTTGATGTGTCCACTAAGCTTAAAGGTAGTATTTTTAATAAGCATGAAAAATTTACTCATCAGTCTATGCTTTCCGGTGCTAGATGGATGATGATTATTTATGAACAAGATGCCAGTTTAGTCTGTCTTAAGTATTTGTACCCAGCATTGAGTAACTGGGGACAAAGCAGCTGCTCTTAACAAAATAGAATAACTCATGACAAGGAAGGGCCAGAAAGCTGCTGCTCTAGACAACGTTGAGGAAGATTACAAATTTTTTTTCATTTGGTTAATACTACTGTTCAATACTATTAATGGCTTTCTGAGCTTTCTTAAATACACATATGACATGACAACAAAGTAAAAGAGTTAATGTAAATGGCCTTTAAATGAATGCCAGAAGGAAGAGGAAGGTGTGAGTGGAAGCTATAAAGAATATTTCAAATGTCATTCTCATTTACATCTGCTTAGTGTTTACTTGGCACTTAGTGTTCATCTTTCAGTAAAGTCTGTGTTAGGGAATGTGGTTTCTCCAGAAGTAGATTATTTGTGCATTTTAGCCTTCACAGGATCCTAGCATAATCATCATCTGCTTCACCTAGCAACTGATGGAAACAGATGTAGAGACTCACAGCCAAACATTAGGCAGAGCTTGGGGAATTCTTCAGAAGAGAGAAGAAGTACTATAGAAGTCAAAGGCGTCAAGGAGACCACAAGAAAACCTACAGAATCAACTAACCTGGACCTATAGGAACTCACCAAGACTGAACCACTAACCATGGAGCCTCCATGAGGTTGACCTAGGCCCTCTGCACATTGTTACAGTTGTACAGCTTAGTCTTCAAGTGGCACTTCTAACAGCTGGAGCAGGGTTTGTCTCTGAGTCTGTTGCCTGCCTTTGGAATCCTTTCTTCCGACTAGGCTGCCTCAGTAGGAGAGGATGCACCTAGTCCTATTACAGCTTGATATGCCAGGGCTGGTTGATATCCATGGGAGGTCTGGGAAGGAGGGGAAATAGCTGTTGGGATGTAAAGTTAATCAATTAATTTTATTTAATTAATTTAATTAATTAATTAAGATTCTTATGTATTAACTTTCTTAATGTTTTGTTAATCCCAAGTATCCAACATCATAAACAAGCTGCCCATCTGTAGTACACTCAGCATTTTCATAAAATTAAAATACTTCAACTTGGGCAGCCAAGAATTTAGATACAGTAGGTTTCTGAAAGGCACTGAGAGGAAAACCTGCTTGCTTGCAATAAATCAAACATGTTCAGAGCTGATCTATTGCAAACTCAGTCTTCTAAGGCCAAAGCTAACAGTCAGATTCCATATCTAGACCAGTAGTTTTCAAAGCATGATTCCACATGAACATTACCATCACCTGAAAACCTCCTAGAGATGTAAATGAGCTAACCCTTCCAGGCAGAGTTGGAAACTCTGTGGTTGAAACCAGCCTTTCATGGTTAACAAGCCCGTCAGGTTAATCTTATCCACTTCAAGTTTAAGAATAATTAACGTAGACAAAGTTTCACTTTCACCATAGGACAGGTTCACAGCCACAATATTGGGAAAGCTTACTCTTGTCCTGGCAGCTCAAATTTAGAACTTCTTCATTTCTGCCTGAGTTCTACTAGACTATCGCTACTTGAATAGTTCAACTGAAAAATCACTTGTTTGTAGCTGAAATTAAATATTTTATATTTAAGTAAGTACTTTTATGAGAATTATGTATTTGGAAGTAGTTGGTTTTATCTGTGTTCTCTTAAGATATTTATAAAAACTAAATTAGCAGCTATTCAGAATAATGTGAAGTGCTTTACATCAAATCTTGTTCTGTGTAGTGACCAGTCAAAGAATATTTAAGATGACTGCATGGATTTTTTTGGCTCAATATTCAAAGATAGACATTTTAGATATTGATATTTTATATATTTGCATCTTAAAGTTGATTTTATGTAACCTTCAGAATTTGCAACTCCTAAAATCATCAAGATTTGCATACTGAATGGAATAATGCTGGATATTTCTTATCCTCCTATAGCTTTGCTGAAAGACAGGTTGTTTGAAAATGGATATGGCTTTTTGAGTAATGATGATGTGGATACTGTAATATTTAAGAAAAGGAAATGAAAGTGTTTTGTTTTAGTGAGTATATATATATTTGATTTCTGAAAAACCAAAACCAGAAGTTGTTTTTTTATGTGTTTTCTCTTAGATAGCCAAGAAGAAAAACACTCACCAGTCTTCACTGATGGACCTGGATGGTTCCTATCTGAGTGTAGCCAAACCACAAACCTTCTGTCAGACCAAGGCAAGGCCTAAGTCAGCAAACCAGGACTCAGCTTCAGAATCCCTTACAGCATTGAGGAATAGTTCTTTGAAACCAATAACACTTAATCTTCCCAAAGAGAATTTAGAGAGGATGTCAGCAGAAACCAGAACATGTACTTATGAATCTCCAGGGAGGAGACTAATAAATGCAGCCCCAATAGAGAAAGCCCTACCAGAAGAGTTGAAGATAAAGGAATATCCAAACCTTCCGCCTACTCCATCTAGTCAGTACTGTGGTCATAAATGCTCTGAAAGTGAAGCTTATGTTCATGAGAACTATCATCCTACGAATATGGCCCCTCAGTGTTGTAAGACACATCCAGAATCATGCAGTCATTGTAGGATGCCCTGGGCATCACTCATGCATGATCAGGTGGCACTGCAACCCAGGGAAACTTACATCGAAAAACAACTGTCAGAAGATCGAAGGCAACAGCTGATGCTTCAGAAAATGGAACTGGAAATTGAAAAGGAACGCCTTCAGCATCTCCTGGCCCAACAAGAGACAAAGCTTCTCCTTAAACAGCAGCAGCTGCACCAATCCCGACTAGATTATAATTGGTGAGTCCTATCTGTTCTTGCAGCACTGTCTGTAGGTTGGGGAATAAAACTTCCAGACCACAGTTCATAGAGATTCTTCAGCATCTTGACTTGCTCAAGTTCAGATCATTTATGATTACAAGTGAATTCCTATCTTCTGCAGAAGATATGCATGCATATATGTGCATGGGTGTCTGTGCTTATAAGCACACATGTAGAGGCCAGACGAGGACGTCAGGTGTCTTTATCTGTCATTCCCTACCTTACTTCTATAAGACCAGAGTGTTTACTGAATCAGAAGCTCACCATTTCAACTAGGCTGGCTGTCCATTGAGTTCCTGGATCCACCTGTCTATCCACCCTCAAAGCTAGAGTTACAAAGACATGTAATCATACCTATCTGGGGATTTGAACCCAAGTCCTCATGCTTGCACACTAAGTTCTTTACCCACAGAGCTATCTTCCAAGATGCAGTGGTAACTTCTGTTAGACTTCAAATCCCATGTGCTTTTCTATTTGGTGCCACTATGACGAGGTAGAGATGAAGGTAAATTGTTTATTTCAGCATATAGAATAAGATTGTAAAGAAGTGGGTTTAGTTGTCATTATCCTACATTCATATCTTTGTGCCATCACATGAAACAAATCATGAGAGCCATTTAAATTTAATTCTTACTAGTCCTAACAGCTTCCTTTATAACTAGTTCTAGTAACTAGTCCCACATTTATACCTCTTTTTCTACTAAAAAAATTACTTTTTCTCAAGTAATCACTTTAAATTTTCATTGTATATTTTTCATAGCATGTGGCAGTGTGTTATGTATGAGCAAAACATGTGCTGTGTGTTGATCATGTTTGCTCTGTACCTTCCCTTTTATTTTTTTTTTTATTTTCATTGGTGGAGGGCTCAATCCCAGACTTTATGCATGTCCAGCTAGTGTTCTGCCACTGAGATATACCCTCACCCTGGTTGCCGGCACCTTAATAATGTCTCTTACAGCAGTATTTCAAAAGCTGGGTGGCTATTTTGATGTTATGTACTACTCAGTGTGGTTTTACATTCAGATGCATAAAGTTCATTGTTTTATTTTAGAAAACTACTAGTAAGTCAGATGTAACTATGTTGAAAATTCTAAAATGTTGTAATTCTATCTTGAAAAGACAATTAATTGCACTTTTCCTAAGGGAAATGTTTCCGTCTCCCCTCTCGTTGCCTTCTTGACCACCATTCCTCCTGTCTACATTCTTGTTAGAAACACTCTCTCTTTATAGTTCTAGGTTAGAAAAGAGAGCTAAGAAATAGGACTTTTGTATTTATTTTTAATTATACATATTCATAATTACTTTTAAACTTTATTTTGAAATATTTATAGGTTCATTAGCCATTTTAGAAATATTACAGAGACACTCCTTTGACTTTCACCAATGGGTGGCTACACACTATATAACTAACTCATGAATTAGCATCAGTACAGTGTGGGGTTACTGCTGCCATGTTACTGAGTGTCTTGTTCATGGATATCACCACCACAATAAAAACAAAGCTGTTTTGTCACTACAATGATTGCCATGTATAGGGAGCTTTTAAACATTATGTTTTGTAACACTTTTTTTAGCCCCACCCATGATCTTCTCTTAAACTCCATGGACATAAATATAAAATCTTTTGTTATGGTCCCTGAGATCTGATCCTGGGAGCTACTGCTGCTTTTACTTCAGCTGTGATATTTCTCTTGTGCTTTAGCCAAGTGTAGGACTTTCCTTACTGGCCTCTTAGTCCATCATTATCAATAATCTAGTGAGAGTTTTTTTCTTTTATACTTTTGCTGATGGTATTTTTCTTACTTATCTCAGATGAGCAATTTTCCAAAGTACAGTTTCTGCCTGGTTTTTATTTATGTCTTCTGTTTCTTTCTAGAGATTTTTCTGTCTTTCAACTTCTTTCAGGGATATTCAGACATTTTCTTTGAGGCATTTTTGTAATATCTGCTCTAATATTCTCTATAGATATTTTTCTATCTTACTGTTGGCTTTTCTTTTTCTTAGACATTTAGTTTATAGCCTAAGTCGCTGGGCATTACTTAACTCTTCCTCTGTGGAATACCTTCTCTAATACTGCTGAGGCAGGGCCCATAGAAAATGAAAGTCTGGCTTCTACTCAGCCTTTGCTGGTGGGGGCAGGGCAAGTGAAGCCACCCATTATGTGGTTGGCTAGAGCAGAGAGTGAGTTGACTGTCTAGAAGCTTCTTGCTGCTTTGACTAAATGAGAAAGGCTTTTTCTCCCCTTCCTGCTTATGAGGCGTCTGTTACCAGGCTTCCACTATTCTAAGTGTTCAGACACAACAGAGTTCTTGGAACACAATTCTTCCTCTGAGCCCAGTCTACTAACTGCCCACCTTTCTCTCTTTTTCTTTCTTTCTTTTTTTTTTTCTTCAAAACAGGGTTTCTCTGTGTAGCCCTGGCTGTCCTGGAACTCACTAAGTAGACCAGGCTGGCCTCAAACTCAGAAATCTGCCTGCTTCTGCCTTCCAAGTGCTGGGATTAAAGGTGTGCACCACCACTGCCCAGCTTCTCTCTTTCTTTCTTTGCTTCAAAGTCAGCAAGCAGGTTCATAAACATCATAGCTGGATTGGACTGTTGATTGCCTCCCTCCTCTGGAAGCTTGCTAGCATTTTCTGGTCCCGACAAAGTTATTTGTATAACTTCGAGTTCAAGGACCTATGGACTCTATTTCTGATGTGCATGGAGTCTTAAGCAATAGGAATTGACTTCCAACTCTGAGGTTCAATCATGGACAACAGCAATACACTGTTTTTGAATCTTTTAGACAGGTCTGACTAACTACTCAAAAGAGAGAGCCCTAAGACTCTAAAAATGGCTCTTTTCTGGAAAACTCTTCAAAAATAGTTTGAACTCCACCATAGGTCTTTATTCTAATTTTCTTTTTAAGTTGACTCTGTTTTCAGAATTACTGTCCTTAAATTATGTGATTGAATAAATTCTATTGCACAGAAGAGTATTACCCTAGGTAACTGCTATATGCAGGCTTAGAAAACCCTCTCAGTGTTTTACCCTGACATGTTTTCAATCTTGTTGAGCAAGACTCGTGAAGTAAATATATACAAACCACAAAACAATGCCCAAGTATAGTAGCATCCATCTTAAGACCTGTTAATGCTGGTTTCTGGTGCCTTGGGCATCTGCTAAAGGTCTGTCTGGTTCTATGACTCTTGGCCCTCACAATTCTACCATTTCACTTGTTGTTTGGAGCTCTGACTATACAACAAAATTCTCCCAAGTCAAGAAGCTAGAAAGTTCAAATAAAATACCCAGATAAACAGTCATTTAAGACAATGGGGTGGAGGCCTCTGGAGAGAGTAGCCCAAACCTGTGTTTTCTCCTGCCTCCTCCCAAGTGATGTGATTGTAGCTTTCAACTCACCAGGCTGAAGACATTTTTAACTAGAGGTGGTTCTCTTTCTACAGCTTTTCTCCCATGTAAATCATCTAACCTATCATGTTTAGCTGGGACAGGCCAGAAGTCAGAGCCTTGATTTATCTGTTTAATCAGTATCACAATTCATATTCTAAGGCTGAAGTCTACCTATTCTCTGGCCTACTTTTTAGATTTATTCAATTTTATCACTTAAGAGTTGTCTGAAAATCTGTACAGTAGTGTCATGAACCAAGAATATCTGTCATGAACGAATACTCCTAATACAATGCCTTTATTTTATCACACTCTATTTTGTTCACATTTCTGAATTTTAAAAATTGATAGATATTTCTTTCTATATTAGATGCTGCCCAGCAACCTGGTTTCCAAAGCTTTTTGTAATTTGAAGTCATCTCTGTACCCATTTGCCCCCTATTTTCCTAAGAAATCTTTTTTCTTAAAGTTTGTCTTGTAACTCTTTCCATATACCATTCATATTTCTTACTCAAGCCATCCCTTCTCTGCTTTAAATGTGTTTGCTTTCCTTTTCCAGTTATATACACTTTATATATTCATTGTCACATAGCTAAAATTATACTACTTGATTTTAATGCTAGTTTCTTTCTTACTAACTCTTTAAGTTATGGAAAATATACAAAAGAACACCATAGTATTTTTGTGTGATATAGATTTATCACTCAGCTCAATTTTCATTGTTTTAGGAAATATTTATTACTTCTGCCCATAACTATGTGGAAGGAATACTTAGAGGAATAAAAACTGACCTCTCTCCATGTGTTATGCACAGCCTCACACACTAATTTATACAGAATATGAACTATTGTATATCTTTACTGAATTTGTAATTTAAGTGATCAGGTAACTCACTTCAATTACAATAATAAATTAATGCTACTTGAGTACACATTATTTATGGTGCTTAAGATATTCAGGTAATGTATTGGAAAGACTGTCTATAATTGAAAACCAAATGAGTAGCAGAAAGTTAAAGTAGTTAGTTTGGGGATGAGCCTTTTTCACAGAAATGAATTTGGGGAGGCATGAACACTTACTTAAATTCTGATTAATAATTGATTCTACTGCCTAGAGATTGCATAGTCTATGCTTTGAGAAAGTCTTGCTTTGTGAGTCCTTTTTAAGTTGATCAAAGAAAATTTATCCAAAATACTTTTTTTTTTTTTTTTTTTTTTTTGGTTTTTCGAGACAGAGTTTCTCTGTATAGCCCTGGTTGTCCTGGAACTCACTCTGTAGACCAGGCTGGCCTCAAACTCAGAAATCCTCCTGTCTCTGTCTCCCAAATGCTGGGATTAAAGGCATGCACCACCACTGCCCAGCCCAAAATATTATCAATGGCAGTGCCAAGAACTACCATATGTTCCTTTGGGAGTAAGAGTAAAGTAATTCAAGGCTATTTATAAATATCTGTCTTTGTCTCCAGAATTTATAATATACATACTATATAACTAGGTATTAAAAAAAATGTTCTACTTTCACTACTTACAAACCTATCACCTTGGAAATGTTTTGTGCCTGAGCCTGCCCTGCTTTGCTCTGTAAATACATAT